TTTTCAAATCTGAGTGGAATAGATGAGAAAAAAATCAACTATAGCATGACAAGAAATTACCAAAAAGATTATCCAGTTATTTAATAAATATTTAAAAAAATGTGCCATGGATTAAAGAAACAATGCTCCAACTGTGGGTGGGTGGAAAAATGCATATTCACAAAGATATTCTTAACCTTTTATGAACAATCTTTTACTGTTTAGTGTTCGCTTGTAATTTCTCTGATATCTGATACATCAGAGATTCCCAAAATATGCACCAAGGCAACTTGGAGCACCACATCTAGCTCACAGGGGCACTGCTAGATACTAAAAACAAAATTTAATGGTCATATGCTTATTATATGATAAGTGAGTAGCAAATTGATTTACAATGTATTCATAATATAAAACTAGACCTTTTGTGTCCATCTTGGTGACACCAGATATTCAATTTACAATTTGTTTGCTAAGTTTGACTGTTACATTGTGAATTGATCACCCAATTCACTCACCTTCATTATAAAAATTAAATTTTCCTCAAATATGAAACATTTTCGAAAAAAACAATTGCGAAATTAAGTCACAGATGAAAATACTTAGGTAAAATTTTTTTTCATCATTTTTTTTTTTTTGTATATTTGCTTAAGTGAATTTCAACCATCATTTTCTCCAATCCAACCACATGAACATAAATGCAATTGTTCAGTATTCTATAACTTAAGGCATCCTGAAAAAATTTCTTATGCATTAAGGGTGCTGTGATTTGAAAAACTTGAAAATCACCAATAGACTTAAAAAAATATTAAGGTATTTTATAGTGTAATTTTTTTCTTTTTCATATTTTTACATTTTACAAAGTTGACACCAGAAGTAATGCCTCATATTTTATAATGTTACCTCATAGTCTCAAAGATGGATATTGGTGGTATGTCAATAACCACCAATAACCCATGATTTTTTTTTTGTCTTCTTACAGATAGCAGTTGAGCAACAGTCTGGCAAAATGGTATTTCACATGAAAGTGTGTATGAAACAGAGGTGTGTCACTGAATTTAATCATGCAGGAACAATTGAACCTATTAACTTGATGCTTGATGAACATTCATACAAACCAAATGGTGGATGTGAGCACAGTTAGGTGGCAGCTAATGGATTTTAACAGTAGCAGTTGTGATATGTCTATATTTCTGAAATGAGGTATTGTAATTATTTATACTATTTACATTGTTCATATTGTTGTCCTCATCTTTGTTGCCATATTCACAACGTTTCTGCTGTTGTACACTCTGGCCTTCTTCAGGTGATTGGGATTTTGAACTGAACTCTGTATTTTGTCCACCAGGATAGATTGTTCTAGTTCCATGTGCAATGATTTTCTCCACTGGGCCATGGATAAAAGCATTGGTTGGATCCAGTGACTTGACCCAAAGAATTGTGAGTTCAATACCTGGCTACTGCAGTGGTGAACAATAACTTGGAGAGTTGAGTTAAAGGGAGATAACTGAGACTTCTGGAAGGGGCATGGCACATGGAATTAGAACAATCTAACCCAGTGGATGAAGTAATGGGTTCAGTTTGAATTTCTAATCACCTTTAAAAGGCCGGAGCATACAACAGCTGAAACATTGTCAATATGGCAGCAAAGATGGGAAAATAGTCTGAACAATGTAAATAGTGTAAATAGCAGTTGTGATGTTAGTGATAAAATGACCCTGCACAGCTGTAAACTATTGAAATGAAGAGCATATTGATTCTCTTCCCTGCAAATTTGTTGATTACAGCCAAAGAACTATGTACAGAGCTGAATGTTAGCATTAATGCATTGGAACTGATGTTGGCAAATGTGCCAGGTTAGTCCCATGGATGCTCACACACAAATAGAAAGACTATTGAATGCATGTCTGTCAAGACCTACTGAACCACTGTGACAAGGTGACAGTTTCTGGGACTGCATCATAACTAGTGACATGATTCTGTTAGCCAGAATTAAAATGACAGTCCATGGAGTTGTGACATGTGAATTCTCCATCAAAGAAAAAGTTTAGGATGTGGCCATCAGCAGATAAATTGATGTGTACTATCTTTTTCAGGTAATAAGAATGGTGTGATAGTCTTGGATTTTTTGGAACCTTCATAAGCCATCAAATCTGACCATTACAGTGTGATGTTCCCTCAGTTGAAGGAAGCTATGGTACATGTAAATTTTGTCTGGACTGTCCTACCATATTTACTGCATAGTCTGGATTTGTTACCTTCTGACTTGCATCTGTTTAGACCAATAAAAGATGCATTTTGTTGGTTACATTTTCCTGACAACTGCAGGCATAAATTTTTAAGAACACAGCAAGCAAGCTCTTGTCCATTGTTGGCAAAAATCAACAGTTGTGGTTGACTTTGTGGAAAAATGGTGTCTTATAGTTGAAAAGTTGCTCTATGCAATGCTATTATTGTACTCTCTGTATCTGTGGTAGTTTCTGTGAAAATACAGGGCATTACTTTTGGAGAATTCTTTGTAATTGCAAGTTTTCAAGGATCATGCTTTTATAGCTTAAATTTTTATGCTTTTTGTTAATTTTGTGTTTCATCAGTGATGATATATCATTTTAAATAGATATGCATGTATGCTAGCCTTTGCCATGTTTGTCAATGGCTGTAGCAACATTTTACACCTTTAATGGACTAGGCAGTAGTTATGGGAGAATGAATTGCCAAAATACTCGCTCAATGTTAACTGTTCTGAAAGTTAATTTGTATAATCAGTTATTGTAAGTAACATTAATTTGTCAACATTATGATTTTGGTATTGTTATTACATAGTAATTCATTTTTTTTTTTTTTTTTTTTTTTTAAACATTTAGTATTTAAACAGCTTTTTTTTTTTTTTTTTTTTTTTTTTTTTTTAAATTTTGAACCTTGAATTGTACTTTGCACTTAAAGTGTTAAAAAAAAATTTAACAAAAAATGGTCATACATACTTTGATATAACAGGCAAAAGAACATTCAAATTAATAGGATATTATGGCAGATATTCTGGATCAAAATTATTATATAGTATTACTCAAAATATGTTAATAGAAAATGGATTGGCATCTTTATTCTTCCAAAATAAACTGGAAGCAAGTGATTAGGTACACATTACTTACTACATTTTTGTCTGCTATTTTCATTTGAGTACATGGCTGCTCTTGCTGCGATTGTCTAATTTGCTTTTGAATACATTTGTCTTTCTCTCGGATCTCAAGTCTTTAGAACAAGGCACTGGAATTTACTACTAAAATTCCCTCAAACTAAACTGACCTGTCAGTGTTTAATAAAAGATAAAGAGAAATATTTATTTTGAAAGCGAGTGAAAATATTTGGTGGCATTTTACTTGATTTATACTTCATTTTTACAAATAGGATTTTTTGAAAAGGAATTTTATATTAATGATGCAAAACAATTTCTAGTGAGTGTTGATTATTAATCAGTTAATACTATTTATGTATTTAAAATATTTGATTTGTTAACAGATATACATAATATTTACAAAAGGATCTTAATGTCTCATATTGTTTCTTTTTGATGACATTTGTCACAAAGTGTGATGCTTTAGATAATGAAGATTATTTGTTTATTAAAAGCAAACATTTAAGAACTCTCAAATTGCATTTTTGATACAAAATATTTCTCATTAAATTTTGTGACTTTTTCTCCATGGCACATACTTTTTTCAATAATCAAGCTATGTACATTGCTATCTGTATCTATGGCAAATTGTTTTGTATAGTTTGGTCTGAATGCAGTTGTGCACGTTGCAATATTGTGATTGAATTTGTGATGTTGAATAGACTCTAGCTTCTGAATTAATTCAAGAAAAGCTAAAAACTGATTAAAAATTAAATGAAATGTATACAGGCACATGAGTCTTTTTTTTTTTAAATTTTTTTAACGTTTGATTTTGAGTGGTAACATAAAATTTAACACCAAGAAAAAAATTTACCTTGCTTTATATTCTGAAAATTATTTCATTCAATATCATTGTTTTACAGTAAACAAAAATGTACATATTGAAGTGCTACTATGTAACTTAATACACAAATGAAGCCTTTCTACAGTTGTATATATTTACTAATGAATTGGATTATCATATTACAAAATTAATTATATCTTGTCACTTTTATGTAAAAAAAATTGTTACCAATGTTTTATAACGTTGAAAGATGAGATGAGGTAAAAAGTAAAGCCAATAAAACTCTGTGTTAGAATAATGCTTTGAATAGATTTGCTATATTTAGTATTTAGAATAGATGCATTGTATTGTCTGTAAATGCTTAAAATAAAATGTATTGTTTTTGACAAGAATTCAGCCTTGGTAAAACAAACAAAAAAAAAGATGTTGAATTTGTTTTTCTCTATTTACTTTATACTTTGGTCAGTCTTCATAATATAAGAATAATAATAATACCTCTTAAAAAAATTATCCATTACTAATGTTTGTGTTCAAATAATCTATTTGATTTTTAAGCATACATTTTGTGCTTCTGAGTAAAAACTAATGAATTATATGAATTCACATTATATAAAATTCATTAAATAGGGTTGAAAAACCACTTTAGTTAAAGATTTTAAAAATTTTCTGCTTGCTGAAATGTCATCTATGGTTTAATATTTTCTAGATTGTCCTTTAAATTACTTTCAAATGTGTTATTAGATTTTTAAGTTTTGTCTCGATTAAAAATGGTGTTTATTTTATTACTATTGTAAATTAATTTGATTTATTGCAGAAATCAAATTGATTGATAGTCAATATTATTAAAAAAGACTGAATTTCATATTGCTCAGACTTTGAAAATTCAAGAGTTATAATGATGGAATTTAAATAAGATTCATATTCCTCAAAGAAGCATTTAATTATCAATAATACTCTTTGCTGATTTGTGCAATTAGATTTGATTGATGTTTCAGAATAGATTGAAGTTTTCTTTGTGCAGCTTAATTGCAAACATGATTTACTTTTCAATATTTATGCTACTAAAAGGGGATGCAATGGCTGAACAGGATTTTATTGAAGGTAAGTCAAGATTCTGATGTGATTTTGCCAATGAATGTGACACCATGCTCGGTCAACTGTCTTGTTTTTAATTTTGTAAGTGTATTTGTCACTCACAAATTGTATGAAGTGGCTGTTGTCTTTCACCTTTGCTTGAACTGTGCATTCTTTATAATTAAAAATGGTTACTTAATTACCACAAAGGCTTTTTCTTGCAAATGTAGGTCACCAATACTGAATCATTCTTTACATAAAGAATGTTATTTAAAATCATATCCAGTCATTTAGATTACTTCCTGGTTATTTTGTCATTTTTAAATAGTCTCTTGATAGCTGATTAACAAAAATACTGAATAAATCTGTGTGTCTAACATTTTTGCAGTTGAATTTTTCTTGTGAACTTCTTTGTGTCCACTTATTGTGTTAAATGGCCATCTGAAATCCTTTTAATCATTCTTTCTTTGGTCATGGTTTTTGTCAAATAGAAATGAAGTGTTCAATCCATTTTTCTGGACAATTACTTTTTAGTTTTTAAGACAACATACTGAAAGAATCTACAAATAGATTAGTATGTATATTTAGGCTGCATATCTTCATTCAAGCATAATCTAGAATAATCTAGACATATATCTATTTTTATTTTAATCCTCTCAGATTCATGGATCAATTTCTTAGTGCTGCTACAAATTGAGTCAGAAAGATTCTGTAGTTTTGGTTATTTCTTTTATTTTTCCCAAGTACTTTCAATCACATCCAAGATTATCTTTAAGGGTGAATTGCTAAGATAAAAATTAATATAATTGATAGTTGTTAATTTTTGTAAATGCACATGAAATGCACTCCGTTATAGTCAATTTATGTTAAGAATATATAAGGAAGGTAACTTAGTTTAAGTTTTTTTATTTTAATATTCAACCAAACATGCTTGAAATAGATTAGTATATCTTAAATGATTGACCAATTAACAGTCTCTCTCTCTCTTTCTATTTTTTTTTTTTTTTTTTTTTTTTTTTTGTAAATTATATGAAATTTGATTTTTCTTGATGACATTATGCCTAATAACAGCTTATCTATCATATATATGATAAAATATAGTTTTAATGTATGCTAAATTCATGAGTTAAAGTGCTCAATATCAGGGATAGAGCATATGTAAATATGTAAGTGGACATTGAAGTCAACACCCAGAGGCAACAGTTCTGTTTGATTCTAAATGCAATCATCAAACCTGATGATTGCATTTAGCATGAAAACAGACTGCTGTCTCTGGGTGTTGACTTCAATGTCCACTATATAGAGTGTAAAAATTCAGATATAAAGAAAATATATCTGTAAAAAGAGAATATGAATAAAGACAAGAGGAAAAACTTTTCTTTACCAATGCATTTTGTCCTCAAATGGACTTTATCAAGGTAAATATAAGGATTTTATTTTTTGATATGTATTTATAAACAGAAATAAAAATATTAGATTTACAAAATTTTTAAATTTAATAATGCTCAAAAATATTCTTAAGCCTATGATAGTCAATTATGGATGATGTTAAGTGATGTAATTTATTTAATTTAATGCTTAATAAATATGACTAATGTTTACTTATTTTATTTATTTACTTTTTATTTATTAATGTAATTATTATTATTTTAATTTGAAAAATTATTTATGTATATGATATTTTACTACAAAATTCTTATTTTAGATATATAGATGATACTTTAATAATATATCCGCACAATACAATTTTACCCAACCTTGTAAACAAACTTTAAAATGTTGAACCCACAATAGATTTTACTTTTGAAACTGAAACTAACAAAATTTTACCCTTCCTAGATATCATGCTACATATAGAACCAATAATTACCTTCAATTAAAAGTTTACAGAAAATCTAGCAAGAAGAATTACCTCATAAACTATTATTCTCATCACTGCAGCAGAATAAAATCTGGAATAATTGATTTTATTGAAGAGCACAAATAATTTGCAGTCCACAATATTTACCTGAAGAAGTAAAATATATATATATATAGTAAACACCTTTAAAATCCTCCAATATTCTATTTCATCCACAATGCTAAGAGAAAGGCATACAAAATTTACAACTGCAAAAAAGATAATTATATTAACAGCAATGACAATAAATTAAATAAAAAAGGCATATAGTGTTATCTACTATCCAAAAACAATTTATCTTAACAATATCAAAATATATACAACCATATCAAAAACTATTATGAATATTATCACAACCAAAACTCTTCATAACAATAATTAGAAAATAAACTGATGCAACTGTTCTTTACAGTATATTGTGGAAACTTGCAGAAATTAAAAGTATCTTATACAGAATCATACACAGAATTAAGTTCAACCACAACTTTGATCTAAAGAATGCCACACATATTAAAAGAAAAAATAACTTAGATAAAATGTTCTTGAGTGTCACTATTGAATCTTGCCAAAATATTAACCTGCACCTGGGATTTTTTCTAATATCTCTTTTTCTAGAAATACTTCTTTCCCAAGTCAATTTACATGACCATAAAAAAAAAATTAAAGAAAACCATTAAATCAAAACCTTTAAAATAAATACATAAATAATTAATCAAATTAAAATCATAAATAATAATTACATTAATAAAAAAGTAACTATAAGAAAACAAAAAATTCAACAACATTTACTCATTTTTGTTTGTTAGGCATTATTACTTAGCATCCTCAATATTTTACCCTGACTTTCATTGTTAGGCTTAAGAATATTGTTCAGTGTTAAATTATTCTAAATGTTATCGAGTAGAAATAATTAGGGTCCAGAATGCAGTTATTTTATATGTGTAGGATTGTTTCTTAACTTTTAAGTCATTATTGATTATTTAGAGTATTTTTAGTCATTAATTATTTACTGTTGGTTATTATAAAATTTATATACTTGTGTACGCATTTTTACAGTTTGTTAATTTGTCTTTTACTTACTAAATTTGTTTATTTTTTAAAAATTTATATATTTGTTTCTTTGTGGGGTTGGTTATTTTGTTTGTTTATTAGCTTTATTTAAAATATATTACTATATCTGCATTGCACATAGTGCATATTTCTCTTGGTAATGTTTTTATGTAAATGAATTTTGTGATAAGTTCTAATCATTTATTTAATAATTCGTGTTGTCTGAGATGGTCATTATAGCTATTTTCTTCTTCAGATAAAGTTACATTTTTGGATTTATTGTTGTAGGATGGTGCTGTTTTCTTTATTTTCCTTAATATTTTTGTTGTATTTTCACTTTTGCCATTAAGTTCCTATATATATATTTTTTAAAAGGGTTGTGCTGTTTGCCTATTTATTATTGGTAAATGATGTGTGCATAGTTTCTGTTTCTAGTGTCCTTCAGTTACTTCTATGTATACTTTTTCTTCTTTATTTGCTGTTTTTATAGTAGCTTGGTATATTATATTGCTTTGCAGGGAATTGCTGTTTAAGGGACATTCAAGCATTGTTATGCAATTATAAAAGAGTGACTTGTAGGTTAGTTTTCTGTTGTTTTTTATTATTTGTGTCATGTTCACTGTGCAACTGTAGCTAATTCTTAATGTTTTTTTTCTTTTGAATATATTGTGGTGAGTTCTTGATGGAGGGAAGTGTTTGTGGATGAGTTTAATGGCTATATATATATATATATATATATATATATATATATATCTTTATTTTTATAATAATCATTTCTAGTTCTCTAATTAGCTTCTTGATGAGTTGAAATTTATCAAGGAAGGTGACTTTTTTTTTTTTTTTTTTTTGTTATCCCAAGTACTTTCAATCTTCTGAGATCATCCTTGGGGTGAACTGCAAAGACAAAGTTAATGTAACTGTGATCATTGTGATGGCGATTTTTGGGAATGTGCTATGTTATAATTATTTTAAATTTATCCATTGTAGCCACACCTTTTTTTTTTTTTTTTTTTTTGTAAACATGTGTCTGCAATGTAAGGGAGCTAATCAGAGATGGTAAAAATACAAGGCTCTAAATGTTGGTCAAATGCATTTTAAAACATTGCTACTATACCCATAATAAATTCTGTCCCTGATGATGATCTTGGAGGAGACGAAAGTACTTGGGATAACAAAAATTATGTTGCCTTCCTTGATGAATTTCAACTTAACATCAAGAAGCTAATTATAGAAAGGATTATTAAAAAAATAGACCATATATATATATATATATATATATATATATATATATATATATATATATGAGAAAGAAGAGTTCATGTGTGCTTCTTATAGTATGTAAAATAGATAGGTTGGTTAATAAAACAAGGGTAAATGAAAGGGTACCAATGTGAATAGGAAAAATATTTATTAAATATTAATTATTAATCACAAGACAAAAATGAAGCATGGAAATTAAGGTGATAAGTCTGGAATTTTTGGGCATGCCTGTGTCTTTTATTAGCAGTGCAAGAAATAAACAGATAAATGTGGAAGGCTCACCAACAGTTGTCCTTGTGGCTGGTGTGACTGCTTGTGTAGATGGTATTATTAGTAAAAATTCGATTTCTGTTTGATTTCTTGCTGTGCAAAACTTCTTGTCAAAATAAACTTAGATTCAAAAATTAGGCTGTTTTGTCCTTATTGGTGTAGGTGATAGGGGAGTGAGATTTTGAACATGGAGGAAGGGGGTTATTGGATTTGGGGTGGGGAAGACATCCTGTGTGTGTGGTCATTCCTGAGAAATTTTTGACAATGATATTCCAAAATTATTTTTATCAAGATGTTTTATCCTTTTTTTTTTTTTTTTTTGCTGTTCCTTTCCCTTTTTTTTCTCTTTCATTTTATTTTTATCACCATTTTCCTCTGTTCTTACAGTTTTCCTATACAGCAAAATCTCTCAGCACTGGCCACACACACGGGGCGTCTTCCCCAAATCCAATGAGCCCTTTCCTCTATGTTCAAAATCTCACTCCCCTATCACCTACACCGATAAAGACAAAACAGCCTAATTTTTGAATCTAAGTTTAATTTGACA